TTTGCATAAGAAAAAAAAAAAAAAAAAAGATAAACAAGGAGAAAAAAACTGTTACATCCAGCACAAACTGTACCTAAATTAGGTTTCAAACCAAACACAATCATCCATCTCACCCAAAACAATAAACTGTCTCAACTGATGCAATCTGTCTCAACCAACATAATCAACAATCTCAACAAACACAACTGTTTACCTGGTCAGCCACCCTGATGGTCATAGGAGCCTCCAGTACTCCTGTCTCCTTGTCAAAATACTTGCCAGCATCTTCAAATAGGGTTGATCTACAGGGGGGGATTTGCAAAAAATTAATATTAGCTCAAATCTTAAACTGCTAGCTGTAAGCTATTTCAATGACTGAATCAATTAATAAATAAACATAATATTATTTCACAGCAAAGTTCAGTAATATTATTTTTAAAAATTGTGTATCAAATGGTTTTAAATTCACAGACAGGGTTGTTTTTAAATTCTTACTTTCAGCATCTTAAACCTTAGGTTATTATTATTTTTTCATTTGCTTCATCTACAGCGATAAGACTGTCCCATACATGGATTACATGTCCCATATATAACCAACCTTGGCAGGAATTTGAGCTGGGCCTGAAACTGTGACTGGGCTTGGATGTAGCCTGTCTTGGGTAATAGCTCCAGGTGGTTCTTCAGCTCCTTTGGCACATCAAAGTTCAATCTCAGTGCAGTGGTTGCCCTGGGTTATAATATTTTACAATTATTACATCGACGTGACACTTAATAATGCATAAATGTTTGTCTGTCTGTCTGTCTGTTCTGTCTGTCCGTCTGTCTATCTATCTATCCATTTATTTAAGGGTGCAGGATGAAGGACAGAACATATCACAAGAATCTGTCATCATGCTATTTGTATTATGGTATATACAGTGCACATACTTTCACAATGGTGTGTGCGTGTGCATGTGTGTGTGTGTTTGTGCATGCATACATTTACGATTTTTCAGGCCAATGAACCTTTGACCCAATGAACCAATGATGCTATCCATGTAACAGATACACCTTGTATCAGTCTCAGTCTACCCCTGCCAAGCAGGAGGTAATATTTGTCCCTCATATATCCAACATGATGGTATATTATACCTACCTGTTGTTAGCTATGATGGTGTCCTGGTACAGCCTGTCATACATACAGATCTTCAGGTCTACAGATTGTCTCTGCACCCACACTGGGACGTCTATGGCATTACCCAGGGCCTTCACACTGATCTGGAAGGAGAACAAGGCACTCATCTTCTTTTCTCTATAAAATGTGCCTCTAAGAGCTCGTATAAAAACTGTGACAGTAAATACCTACAATTGTGATTCAAGAACAGTTTTATGAAATACTTTTTCATTAACGCCTGAAATCAAATGTGTGTCTGTAGTACCCAGGAATGTTATCTTCTTTTAACTAATTTTCAAATGTCCATATCACATTAGAAGAAAGCAAAGTCAGCAAGGAGAAATAATAATATGAAAAAGCTGGCTGTCATCAGATCTAAAAAAACAATCCAATTTACTGTGGAATAAACAGATAGTGTGTGTCTGTTCATAGAGGGCGCTGTACTGACCTCTGCGGAGAGTTCATCAGTGAAGGTCACCAGGAAGTCAGAGTCCACGGCGCCAGGGTAGGTCGGGTTCCAGAAGATCTCCAGTTTAAGAGAGGTAAACGGGCCGATCTCTCCCCCGATCAACTGACCCACCTTCATCCCATCAAAGGAGTCCAGCTCCTCGGCCTCCGTGCTCAGGGGGAACCCCACTGTGCTGGTGACTGGAAGGATGGGATCAAAACTTTGTGATATATGAGGAAAAATTTCATTCTGGATTCCTATATTAGCCAGGCAAGTAAAGTTTGGGAAATTTGCTGAGGGAGACAGAGGCACCAATGTTTCATCAATTAATGTTTCATCATTAATCAATCAATTAATTAATCAAATAAATAAATAAATAAATAAATAAAATGAAATTATTAAAAAAAATATGAGGAGGTGGAGGAAAAACAGGCTTGAAAAAGGACTGTGAGTGAGGAAGTATTTGAAACTTAATGAAAATAGAGATATTGTACTGTTTAAATTTTTTACATAATAGAATTTCACAAATCTCACAGAACTCTCAATGTGGATCCACTCACTTTCTGACTCTAATCCAGGTTCCTTCAAAGTCACCTTTTCCTTGTGTGCTTCAGTTTCTTGTGGTGCCTCAGCTTCTGCTGGTCGTGCAGGTGCTTTGTCTTTTTCTTTATCTGCAAAGTTTTGTCAGATTGTCAGAACTGTTTGAGACACTGACATTTATGCCTTCTTTAAATAATTGTAACTTTGTTCTAAAGATCAACTGACAGTACATCAGAGAAGATGATAAAATTGTATGATTTTATAGCAGGCCTTATGTATATAAAGTACATGATAATAAAACTGCCATGATTTTTCTTTCAGTCATACAATCCTTTCAAGCAGGGGCGGACCCACAGATATTTTCTGACGGTCTTCCAAATTATCTCTGTTGATCCATTCTCTATCAGTGGCCGTCTTCCGACAGAAAAAAAAATTAGTTACTAGTTCATGCAAACTTGAAAATCTGACCGTCTTCTGGAAGACCAAGAAGACGTCCTGAATCCGCCCTTGCCTTGTATTATAATAACAATTCTAGTTTTTTCTTCAGAATCTCTAATATCATAAAAAATACAGTTTCCACACCATCTTCTGATACTCCTCCTGAATATCTTACCTTGTGTAGCTGCCTCCTTGGCTGCTTTCTTCCCTTTCCCCTTCTTGTCTTCTTGAGCCTCTCCCAGGGGACTGGGAACACGAGCTGTATCAGCCGTAGTCTAACAACAAACGCATGCATTAGACTTTAATTTATTCATCTACTCAAATTATAATGTAAAGGTTGACATTTTATGTGTAAAAACAGAAGGATACTAAAAGAGGTAAGAATATGCTTTTATACATTATAGAAGTTGCATGCATATTAATTAAAATCATTTTAACCTAAAGGAAAAATTTAGTGGTTATTTTAAAATCAATGTAGGATGATGACTTAAAATATCCTTTTTACAGTTTGAGTAAAAAAAAAAAATAAACATGCAGTTTATGAAAGCCCATATGTTCTTAACTTTTAGTTAAAAACCTTTCTGATTTATTTTAATGACTTCATAGTTTCTGCCTTTAACATTTTTACCAATTTGAAAATAGCAAATTGCCATAAGTATGTATATATATGTATAGTATTACTATTTTTTAAGATAATTATTGAGTTCGACTTACCAATCTCCCTATAGATGTCTCTGCTGTGCTGATGTTTCTTTGCTTCATGCCTAAATAGATTCAAAAAGACTTCATAACAGAATGGTCATATACCAAATAAATCCTCATTTTAAACACCCCACTTGTATGCCTTTCCCAACAGGAAACATACAATAAGGCATATGTTCATCTACATCATACACAGTTTTTCAAATAAAATAAAGATTTAAAACAAAGAAATCAATAAAAAACAGGGTGTTTTCCCTTTCCCTTATCATATATATTCATCCCATTTTTACTTATATCTATGACTAACTCCTTATTGATTTAAGATGTGAACCTCAGTCATCATATCTCACCTGATATCTTCACAAACTCGAACCGTGTGCCCAGAGCTCCATTGTTGGTGAGGGTAAACGTTCTCTTCAGGGTTTCCCCAATGACGGTGGTGCCAAAGTCTATCACCCTTGTGTCCACTGACAGCTGGAAGATGACATAGAGAATGCTGTCACCAGGAATTCTTGTCACACTTCCAGTACCAATCATAACTGCATGTTTTTCTTTTTTAAATTAAGACAACTCTGAGCCAATATATTAAATGTTGTGGTATATGCAGGAGTGTTAAATGAAGTAGACTCAGTGCTATATATGTTTTAAATGTTTCATCATACCGAGTTTGGTAGATGACAGTGATCAGAAGCTTTTTGTCACAAACTATGCCACATATGTCAAGATGGAGACTGATGGAGTTGGGTACTGACATGTCCAAACATTTAACACGAATGATGAGTTTTTAATTAGTTTGCGACAAAAGAGCTGAAAATTGAAAATTGACAATGTTGTGCAATTATCCTAAAAAGAGTTTAAAAATGAAATTAAAAAACAAAATTAAAAAAAAAATAAATATATATATATATATATATATATATATATATATATATATATATATCAGGAAGAAACCTGAAAAAAATCACATCTCTAACAATGACATAAAAGTCCCTAACACTGACATATAAAAATACTTACATCACATTTCTTGGTTGTACACTTGATGGGAATGGAGAAAGGACCAGTCTGTGCCAGGAAGTTCACTTCACCTTCAAGATCTTCATTTATCTGGACAAAAAAAATTAGCAATTCACATTTTTACACGTACAATTAATAAATATGCAATACAATACAATACAACACAATACAATACAATACAAGATGAACACAATGATCACAACAATACATAATATCAATTATGTACACAATTGTGCAGTTGTATGTTATTAACTCTCTACCTTCACTGCCCTAAAAGTATTCAAAATGACTTAATGACAAAATAGTCATATTTCAAACAAATCCTCATTTTAAACACCTGGCTGGCTTTCCCAACAGGCACCATATTATTAGGCATATGTTCATCTTTTTACTTTTAATTATAAACCTATACTTTAGGATCAGTGCCCAATATCTCACACTGAAGACAGCACTAAGAGCAGGCAGCTTACCATGGGTTTGAAGGTGACCAGCATTTCACAAGTGAGTCCAGCTGACATCTGACCTGGAGGATCAAACCTGGAGGAGACCAGAACACAATTACAAATCTCAACTAACACAATCAACAAAATATCCATCTCAACTAACACAATTACACATCTCAACTAATTGTTTCCATTGGCAATTGGAGAATTAGATTAAAAACATGAATTTTTACATTTAAAAAGAACTTTCTGAACATTCTGAAATGCCATCATATCATTCTGAAGTGCATATCAAGTGTGTTTTAATACAAATGACTCATGTTTATTTGACAATGTGTGTACTGTGAATCACCATAGGTTGTGGTACAAATATATAGAACACATAAGTGAATCATTATATGCAACATAAACAACAGATATCAAAACAAGGACCGCTGAAAATTAATTGGAGTTCTATCAACATTACATCACATGTCCAAACTATCAGGGGGACCCCCTGTTTTGAGCGTATGTCAGGCCATATACTTACAAGACATCTATAAAGTCCTTGAGGTGCTCTGTGATCCCCAGCAGCTTACAGTAGTTGACAGTATAGGAGACATTGGTGAGGGTCACTTTCTTCTTGTAGGATTTACCCACATCAAAATCCTGAAAAAAACAGGGATGATATTGAGACATGACTTTGTGAGTTTTATTCTGTGTACATACTAGTATGTTTGAGAAAGAAGGAGACTGTGTGTGTGTGTGTGTGTGTGTGTGTGTGTGTGTGTGAGAGAGAGAGAGAGAGAGAGAGAGAGAGAGAGAGAGAGAGAGTCCATCAGTCTTACTACATCTCACCTTGAAATGAATAACATCAGGCTTGCTATAGAAGGGACAACCCTTGAACTCCCGCCCGGCGGCCACCTGCTTGGAGACAATATTCTCTCGGTGTCTGTCCAAAACCTTGACCATAATGTCCTGCTCCATCTTGCTGGCCCCGGGGTGCTTAATAATGGGCTCAGCTGCATCCTTAGGAACCCTGTACGGCTTGTGCTTGTCCCACATCCCCTCAAACTCTGGCTTGGCGAGGTCCACGTTGGCCTCCGCTGGAGAAGAGAGCAGGGACAGGGATCAATATAACACATAGGATTCAGTAGAACATATATGACACATACGATACAATAGAACATATATGACACATATGATACTATAACAGTAGAACAAGTCATGGAACAATAAACCATTAAACAGAAGTGCCCCAAGAGCAAACCAACATTTTGTTTATGCCACAACTTGACCTACTTTCAGAGTCGGAGTCTGGCAGCTCTGCTCTGCTGATGGTGCCATAGGGCGAGGAATGGACGCCTTTCTCCTCATCACTGGAGTCCATCTGAACCCTGGGGTCCAAGGGGGGTCTCTGAAATATGGCACACAGTTTGAGAGGAGGGTTTGACACAGATATGTTAAATATTAACAGAGTAATATTATTATACATCACTGGAGTCCATCTGAACTATAAAGTCGGGGGGTTTCTGGAATACAGTGCACAAGGGGGGGGGATTGAGAACCAGGACTAAGGGGGAAGTTTACACAGATATAACATATTATTTACGAAAATATTTAATATCTTCACCAATTTAAAAAAAAAGGAAAATATCCCCTTTCACTTATTGCTATGTATAAAAGTAAGCTATACATATCATTTTTTGGCAAGATAAAAATCAAATTTAATTCTGCTGAGATAATCATGGACACCAGTGTTATTGAAACATTCTTATCTGACATGGCCCTATGTTATGAAACATTTTCATAGAAGAAAACCCACAAGAAAAGAACATAAGTTATAACAAAAGAACCGTTCCCTCACATTTTCATCCTCGACATCTCCACTATATTCATGGGAAGAAGACTCGCTCTCCTGGAATATTCTCAGTTTCCGCCTCTTGTGTGGTGCCACCCTCTTGGCTTTCTCTCTCTTTGGGTCATTCCACAGCTGGGGTTGCTGTATCATGCGTTTCTTCATGCGCTGCTCCTCTAGCAGTATTCTCTGGGCTATTTCTACCTGGTGTTGGCGCTGTCTGCTCTCATGTTGTCTGCATGGGGGATGAAAAAGGTATAGAGTTACTCAGAAGTAGAAATTTTAAGAAGTTAAAGACTATAAATTGAAGAGAAATTTACTAAAAAGGTTTGTAACTGTCTAATACCTGCTTGAAGTCTTCCAATTGCTAATATTTGTCTTTTTTCATGTAATACATTGTTTAATTACTGTTTCTAAAATTAAAAGAAGATTTAAAATTTAATTCCCATTTCTTTCCTAGTCACTACTTTATAAAAATTCATAGACAATCACTTCTAGCTTTAAGTGAGTATTTGTATCGTATTTATTTATTATATGGATTTTAAGCTTATTCAAAAGTATTCTATGATAAATGATTGCATATATTTCTACCTGGTTCTCACAGAGAATGTTCAATGTGGTTATAGCTTTAACTCACTCTTTTAACTTGTCAAACTCTGCTTGTCTTTTCTCTCTCAGCAACGCCTCCTCTGGGTTTCCCCCTTCCTCCAGTATGCGCTGTCGTTCACGCTCCTCTGCCTCCTTGGCTGCACGTTCTACTGTGCGATCACGAGCCTGGAGTGCTTTGAGATTTTCCTAAAGTGTGCATAAAAGTATATAGGCATGCATTTGATTTGTAAAACTGCATAGTCTTTGTGGGTATTAAGAGAAGGAGGTACTCGTACCTGCTAATAAAGGTGGAGTACGATCTCCGAGCGCATTCAGAACAGTGGACTAACAGATCTATGGATCAAATATAGTTACCCACTAAAAAGCTTGTCGCTTAATTCCCGATTAGACACTGAAAAGATTCCCTGCAGGGAATACACAACAAGCATTCAGGTGGGTAGGTCTTATCTGATCCACAGATCTGTTAAACTGCTGTTCTGAATCTGCTCTTACTGGCTATCTGAACACCAGGTGACATCCAATCAACAATTAGCACACAAATTACCACTGTGACACTTAAGTGTCGCACTCTTCCTAGGCAAATTCGACACTGTGAAAAACAGATGAAATGAATTGCTCATTTTCTCAGTTCTCCAACTCACCCTGTTCTTCATGATGTCAGTTTTCAAGGACAAAGCTGTGGACATTCTTTTCTCCATCTCCTCTCTGTTCTTCTGTTCCTCAGCCAAATCCTGACTACGGATTCTGGGAGGAAAAAAGAGAAAAATATGTTAAATTAAAACCATGCAATTACTGTAGCCCTAGTTTCAAAGTCCATGTGATCAAGCTTGTTCATTTTTAAATTATCCTAAATAAAAATTTTGCCTTTGTATTGCATATTTGAACTTATGTGGCTTTTGGCTGAAGTTCACCACACCAAATCACCAGAATGTGTAAGATGGATTTACTACATAATATATGTTTTTTCTATATTGAACTTGCTGCTGACTGTCAGGGTCTGATAAGAGTGCACATATGAAAATTTGAAAAAGAAGAAAACAGTATGTAATAGACCTGAACTTGCGGTAAAACTCATTATCTTATTCAAAATTTCTTAAGTCTGCCACATCCAGGTAAGATAAAAGAGAAATTTAGTTTTACACTTAGTATAAAGAAATCCCTTTCAAGTACTAAATAAACTCACATGTGCCTCATGTACACAAGTGAGATCTGCAGACCACTGTCCTTTTGATAAAAGTGCAGAATTTTTTTTAACTTTAAAATATATATTATTTCTTTTTTGAAAATAAAGTGACTACCAAGAGCCCACCTGGCCATTGTCTCTTTGAGGTACACTTTTGCCTTCTCTCTGCTCTTCTTGGCATCCAGCATGGCTTGTCTCTGTCTCCTCTCTCTCTCCCTGATGGCTTCGATGTGCTCTCTGGAGATTACAATATTTATTAAAAGTAACATTATTAACTGACTGTTATACCTATTACGAAGTAATATTATCTTTATCTTCTGTGTGAATTTATTTCACAATACAGTTTCTCAAGTTTAGATAAATATCATGACTGAGAGTGAGAGACAACAAGTGAAAGTTATTATGAAGCTTGATTTTTATAAGAATATATACTCTGACTTACTTCTCCCTAGCCCTCCTCCTCTTCTCTGTCTGTGCAGCAAAGTGATCCTCCTTCTTCTTCCTAGTCTGTGCCATCTGGAGTTTCTCTTCCTTCAGCTGCTCTTCCTTCTTCCTCAGCTCCTCGTCAGCCAGTAGAAACTTCCCTTGCTCTACCTGAGCCTTGGCTAGCTCATACCTGGAGATCATTGTAATAATAATAATAATAATCATCATAATAATCATAATAATAATAACAGAATAAAATAAGAAATAATGATGATAATATTATGATAAAAACATCTGACTCAAAATCATTCCTTAAATTTCTTTATGTTAAGCTAAGGACGAAAAAAGGCTGAAATTTTTTAACGTATTTGTTTAGCAAACAATTTAACTTCATGAATACAGGGACAGCAAAGACAGCAACAGTAATACAATAATAAATAAATAAATAAATAAATAAATAAATAAATAAATAAATAAATAAATAAATAAATAAATAAATAAATAAATAAATAAATAAATAAATAAATAAATAAATAAATAAATAAATAAATATAAAAAGGACCAATATTGTAGGTATAAAAATACACAGTACTCACTCAGCGCTATCTAATGTCTCTTTAATCTTCTCCTCCAATGTTTCCTCGTCCTCCAGTTCCTGCAGTACTCTCTCATGCTGCGCTTGAAGTCTGTTCACTGCAGAGCTGAAACGGAAGGGGTTTTGGACTGAATGTCAACAAGCAGAGAGAAGAAGTAGAAAAACAGGGATTTAAACTGCTGTAGCATCGTTTCATTTTAGGTCAATCATAAACAGCTGTACACAGTACTCTCTCAACAAATAGAGAGAAGGGATTAAAACTGCGGTTATATTTTTTCATGCTTTACGGTCTCTCAACCTTTTTAATATTTGATCCTTTTTGACGCTAGTCTTGTGATCATTTCAAACAATGGAAATAAGTGGTTTCATTTCTTTTGTTATCCATATGTATATCTTGTTTTTTATGTAGATAATTTTTAAATTACATTTTTAAAATGAAATAAATCATATTATATGCATGGTCATACATCTATATTTACCGAAAAGTACAAGCAGGTCTGTCATTTACAGAATGCACTGAAACATCAGCCACTTTTACAGAATAAAACAGTGTCTAAAGGACTGGAAAAAAAAATTCTCATGTACTCTTAATTCTAAAAGCAATGTTCAGTTAAAAACTTCAATGTAGAGTCAATGACGTAAAAACTTACACATTTCCCTCAGCGTCACAGGCTGATATCTGTGCGAACACCTGGTCGCGCTCCCTCTCCAGCTGTTCTAGTCTCTCTCGACACTTCTGCAGCTCTTGTCTGGAAACAAACCAGATATATTTAAGTAAATCAATGACATCACATCAAAAATATCTGTCACTGTTTATTTAAAATATTTTAAGATAATCTTTTCACCAAATAATCACCATGCAGATATAAGTGATCAAAGAAATCACATCAAAAATATCTGTTACTCTTTATCTGAAACATTTTAACATTATCTTTTAACCAAATGAGCCAATATTAATTTAACTTATTCAACAGTGTTATTATTATAAAACATAACTATAACTGCTATTGTATATACTAGCATACATTAGAATATAATACTAATAGTTTCAACTTGACAAAATGATAAGATTTGCTGGATATTTCATTCACCAAGAATGTCTGCTCAATACTGACATCTTCACTTAGCTAACCTCTTGTAGACAGAACTGTAAGACTTCTGGTTCACTATAAAAACATGTCTAATAAAACTAAGCACTGGTACCTTGTCTTTTGTACTATGTAATCCTTCTCTAGCACTTTCTCACTGAGCTGATCCAGGTAGCGTCTCAGGTGTAGCATCCTCAGCTGTTCCTGTCTGTTGATTCTCTGCTCTGTAGTCTTTGGGAAGTCTCCACCAGACCTGACAATATAGGAAAACACAATAAACTAGAATACAATAACACAGAATAGAACATGATGTTATAATATAACACATTATAAGACAATATACTAGTAATTCGATACAATTGTTAAACACAATATAGTGCACATTATTACAAAATACAGTTTAAAGACATACAATGCACTTTAGACATCTAGGTAGTGAAAAAAATATGAATAAACAGAAAGCATGGATGATATAAGTGAGAGAAGTGTATAATTTTAAAAACTTTACTTTTTTACTTTAGTGCATAGTTCAATTTGTTTCCACCATAATAATGAAAATTAGTTAAAAAATAATACTTATCTTATAATAATTATAATACTGGTCATAACAGTGTCTAAATACAAAAGACACAGAATATTTTATTTGGTGTAAAAATACCTAGCATACACCTCCTCTTCCTCCTCACTGTCAGAGAAGGCCCCGTCCTCACTCTCTCCATACCCCCGCCCGATCACAGACTCAAACAGATCCGTCTGTGAGGGTTGTTCAAAATCTTCATCCATGGGAATGGGGGTCGCCATGTCGTCAAAGTCCAGGTCCATCATCTTGATGGAGGAACTGGTTGATTAGCCTGAATCTACTTGAATGATGATTCAAAGAGTTGTTCTACTACATTCAAACCTTAACTGTAAACTAAAAGAGAAGAAAAGAAAAAGAGATAATATGACTTACGCATTGTCATCCTCTTCAAATGATTCATCTTCGGAGTCTGAATACTCAAGGAGCTGTAACAAGGTCAGCTCTGACATGTCACAAAGTGGCAGATTCAATCCAAAATAAGAGAGGTGTCTTTTGTTCTGTGCCAACAATGGACTGTCCTATGCACAATCTTCTACATGTTACTTGCTACAGCCACAGTGTACTGTACAGTAGAAGTGAGCACAAAGTGTACCAACACAAAGCTTTAAACAGGCCACTTTTATTGTCTGTAGAGTAACTGAGCTTATGTATATTTGTGCCAACACTGAGTCAATGAGATGTATTAACTGTCAGGTGAAATTTCTTTAGAAATATCCTTATGATAACTTGATGAAATCAATGAAATCGATTCGCACCAGGCTACAAATTGAAGGTAAATTTAACGATTTCTATGTCTTTCATAAAAAAGAGAACACAGAGGATAAGGTCAATATCATCATTTACAACTAAATGAAAAGCCAATGGTAATCATCTGAAATATATAACCGCACCGACTTTGCTGTATGCCAGCATTTTGACTTAGTTTTTGCGACAAATTCAGCAGGGACGAAATAAATCTGAATATAAAATTTATAGAGGCAAAAATGCTTCCAGTTGAATATTTTCAAAGAACTAACATAAATGAAAAAGGACAACCAATTTAATTATTTGCTTGTTTGAACAGCCCTGTATAAATTTGCATACGTACCTGTAATCAATAATTTTAACTATCTATTCAATTTTGTATACAAGTCCTCCATCTTGCTAGCAACATAGACGCGAATTTTCTCGCGAGAGTTATAAACTCTAATAGATGGCGCTAAATCAAGAGGGGTTGCTCTTGAAATGCTACATAATTAAAAGCCAAAAGTAAAGTATTTATAAGTTTGTAAAATATCTAGTTTCGCAGAATAAGTTTGAATGATATCTTTTTTTTTCCAGAGAAATATGTCTTCTTCTAACTTTCAGGGTTGTTTAACTTACGACAATATTAAGAGTTTCTTGTCCTCGAAGTTTTTCAAATCGCCATCTAGTAGTGAGATGCCTAAATCAGTGAGAGTAGACGACAAATGATTTCGAACAATTATGAAATAGTAAGGAATTGTTTTGAAATCGAAACTTGTACAATAAGGAACGCGTGCAATTGGAGCCTATAAAGGACCGATACTAAGGTGAGTAGTAGTGATGTATGTCCAATTTTATTATGCCTAGATAAAACTTCGATAGTAAATCCTTCATCTAGCGCCTCTACTACTGTACTCTAAGTCTCTAGCTCTCAAATGAAAACATACAGGTACTCGTAGACGGCCCCTCATAGAAGTACGTAATGCACTAATGGCTTGCTGATGCCGCGGTAGTTACATTTATAGTTGCCTCACAGAGGCAAGTTGTATAGCTGACGAGATTTGTGGTCGGTTTAGCACTAACAATATAAATTTCTCATTTGTAAAGGGGGGGGGAGGGGTTCTTCCTAGGAAAGGAATTATATATCATGATACTGATTGAGTGGTGTACAAGTTGGGTAATCACAAATTAGGTAATATCAAAAGGGTTGCAGAAAAAGGTATGTGATGTCTTTGTCATTGGCCCAAGCAAGATCCTGTATCCAGCCACCATTTGATTATTACAGTACTTTCACACTGCTG